GGACACGAACTGCGGTCAACTGCATGGGAATCCAGTGACATAGCCATTACGCTAACTGCTGGTTCCCCATATTCCTTTTTCTGAAGAAGCTTTGGATTGCTTTGCTAATTACACCTCGATGTTTACCCAAAACCTAAGTCAGAAGTCTATAGACCCGTAGGTTCCAACTGAGCAAGCTCACCAGGAAAAGTGTACTTAGCATCTGATCTCTGCTGAACATATTGCATATTTCAATGTTTCATATTGAAAAGGGAAACACTGAAGCCTCAGTGTAACAGCCCTGCCAATCAAGGTGCACTAGGAAGCACAGGACTAGACAGCATGAAGTCTGTGGAAATCATCTCCTTTGCCCTTTTGTTTCTCTCACCCAGCTAAGGTTCCACCAATAAGTCTGTAATGGTGGTGAACACACTACTATTTAGAACCTCTCATCCACAGCAACACACTAAAGTCAGCACTATCATTTCCCTCCGATTCATAAAGAGGAAAATCAGAGGGTATGGTTTTCCATATCCTTTAGAACAATTTCAGTTGGTGTTGTCACTGGCCCAGGTTGGGCAAACAGAGGACCTGGTGGCATGAAGTGACTTCTCAGGCTCTGGAGTTTGATGCTCCAAACAGGCTCACATAAAATGATGAACATTTCCTGAATATCTTCCAAATGTCTACAAAGGTGGTGGCAGCATGTATGTGAACTGACTTGTTCTAAGCATATTTTTTCAAATTTTTTTTTCGAGAGAGATTTTTTGCTATAGGGTGCATGTGCTTGCCAGAGAGACATGGAGAGACATAGAGACAGAAAGCAAGAAATCACCCTCCAAGGGAGATGGCCACCCCACAATCCCTTCTCCTCTATTCTCTTCTTGGGACTTTGGGCATACAAGCACACATGCCCTGTGTGAGTTTCAAGTAGCTGGTCCAGAGTCCAGCAACGTAACTGCTACACCATCTGCTGGTCCTGATTTTCTCAAATTCTTTCTCAGAGTGTTTGCCTGATTCTAAGAATAGTTTAAGAACAGATTCTGAACAGCAAACTCCTCCCACCTTACCCTTCTTGATGTTCTTGTTCAGGTGGCATGCAGTTCCTTTTCGTTTCAGCTTCAATGGCCTGGTCATTTCCGTCAACAATGATGCAGATCTCCTGCAAATGTACTGCCTGGAACTCATTGAGGTGAGTCATGCTAACGTGGGACAAACCTACAAACATAAAGTTGAGGAAAGGGCACTGTCACTCATTTTCCTCTTCAATTAAAATGGAAAGAGAACATGGAGCTAATTCTCTCCTACATCAGCAATGGAAACCATACCAAATGAAAACACTGCAACGACATGGAGGGGTGGGTGAATATTTTATCATTTGTCACTTGGCTATTATGGAAACTTAAAACTTGTCCACGTTTCTGGTTTTCATTTTTCCACGGGATTTTGGAAATTGTTGTTTGGTAAGAACGATCTCTGCAGAAATGAAGCATGAAGATCAAACAAGCCTTGTGAATTCAATAATTACTATCAGCCTCTGGGTTTATTATTATTATCATTATTTTGTTCTCTTTCATTTTAATCTTGCCTTGATCCTAAAAGAATTTTAAGCAATATGTAGGAATTAGAGAAATCAAAATATTCCACTGACCCCCAGTGCAACTCAGCTCCTATAGAAGCCACTCATCCTACAAAGCTTGGAGAAGAGAAAACAGGTTAGAGAAAATCAAATACAGTAGTAATATTTTAAAAAAGGCATAGAATGCCATTGACAAAGAGAAGGTAAAGGGACAAATGTTCAATAGAAATACACACTCACCTGCTCTGAAATGAGCCACCTTCTCCTGGTGCTCCCTCTTCTGTGTGCTGATGTTACTTATAGCTTGGTAAAGAAAGCCATAGCGATTTTATTATTTACTTATTTTTTTTTAATTGCCAGAGAAAGACATTAAGGGAGAGGGAGAAAGTACCTTGTAAGGAGGGCATGGTGATGCTGCAATCACTTCGTCTTCATTTCTTCATTCTTTTGTGACTTGGGACACACACGCATGCATGCTCCAAGTAGTTTTCAAGCTGCCAGAGCCAGATTGGAACCGTGGTTGGCCATGTGAAATCCACTTCTCTTAAACTACAGGCCCCTAAAACAGTAAGCTATAGGCCCCTGCAACAATTTTAGACTCACAGCCCAACCACAATATCCAGTGTAAGAAGAGTGGCCACTTTGAAATATCTCCCTCTTAGAAGTGAGGACTACTGGGACCAACAGGTGGTGTGGTGGTTAAAGGTGTTGGACTGCCACATGGCTGCCTGTAGTTTGATTCTCAGACCAGGGAGCTTGAAACTAATGTAGAGCATACATGCATTTGTGCCCAAGATCCTAGGAGACGAATGGAGGAAAATGGACTGTGGTGTAGCCATCCCCAGCGAGGGGTCATTTCTCACCTTTCCTTCCACTGTCTCTCTGGTGAGCACATATGCTCTATGGCAAAAGCCTTAAAACAAAACAACAAAAAAGTGAAGATAATTTTCCTAGAAACCACCATTCCACTCCTCATATGTGGTATCGACTAAGAACGGGTCACAACCTTCTCTGCACAGTGACCACTGGTAAGGTAAACGAAATTAACACAAGTGACCTAAACAGATCATCTGGCCAAAAACAGATGTTGAGAAGATGTTTATTTGTTATTGTGTTGCTAAATAGAAATGCCTGGTATTGGGAGACTTATGAAGAATTGAGGTTTATTGGGCAAACATTTCTGGCAACTGGAAAGTCTGAAGGGGTATGGCCGGCATGGGTCAGCCTCCAGGGCTACATCACAATATTACTAACAGAAGCAGAGAGAAGAGTGAGTATGTGCAGAAAGAGAGGGCACAGAATTCCCCACTTCCTCTGTTGGTCCCTCCCTTTGGAAGGTGCCCTTCTAATAGGCCCCATCTCTTAAAGGTGTTACCAGTTCCCAAAGCCATTACTCTGGAGACTAAGCATCCACAAAATGAAATGTTGGATGCCAAACTATTATATAAACAATAGTAATGTGCCCCTGCCCCCCAAGGCTCACATCTTTCTGACATATGTTATACAAGCATCCCATTCCAATATCCTTCAATAGCAACAGCCCAAAAGTCTAGGTCTAAATTCTATCTAGCTGTGAGCCTCTAAAATCAAGAAAATACACCAACTACTTCTCAAATTCAGGAGTGAAAGAGGCATAATGGAGAGAGATTCCCATTCCACAAGAAGAAAGGAGTCAGAAGACCCCACACAAATCCAGTGGTCTCTAATCCAGTTTTCTGTATCAGACATTATTGTGTTGCTCAACAGAAATATCTGGACTAAATGACTTATACTATATAAAATTTATTTGGTTTGTATTTCTGGTAGTTGGAAAGTCCAAAGGCATAGGACCAGCACAGAAAGGCTGACAGAAGGATGATGGGCAGGTGCACTGAGAGAGCAAATGGACTTTTCCATTTCCTTAATTTGTCTCTCGTACCTTGAACTGGTGCCCTTCCATTAAGCCCCACCACTTGAAGGTGTTACCACCTCCCAAAGCTGTTATACTGTAGACCAAGCTTCCAGAACTCGAACTGTTAGGGGATAAATCATTTTTCAAACCATAGCAGGGAGGCAACCATCTTGACTGCTGAAATTACAATGAGAAAATGATGATTTTCTTTAAAGTAGAGGTGTCTACACTTTAGGACTGCTTGGAAAGCTTTAAATATAATTATCCCTAGGCTTCACTGTAGATGACATAAATAAGATTCTCCAGGATGAGTTCTCAACTTTAGATGAAAGGATCCTTATCAATGAAAGCACAGTAATTTATTCTGGTTGTAGATGCTCTGTCCATATGGATACAAGGACAGACTGTGAAGAAAATGACAGCTGGTTTTACCCAGCTGCAAAGATGTTAGTATGAGAAATGTAATGAGCGGAGTCTGATAAATTTCCACATGATTTGTTACTTAGCCTAATGCAAATATGTAAACTAGGATGGAGACTAAAAGAATGAAAGGAGGAAAGAAGGGAGACCCAATGACTACAACTCTTGATGAATCCATGGGGAGTGGAAACCACAGAGTAAGAGGACTGTTTAGTAAGGAATGTGCTAGAGTTCCAGCTTCACAGATGAAAGGTGGACGGAGTCAACAGGAGTAAATACTTGAAGTGAGCTCTAGGTATGAGTAAAAATTCTTAGGATTTGGGATAGTAAAAAATGAAAAGCTTGAGTCGTCTACATGAACAAGAAAAGATGATGTCTCCATAATATGGGAAGAAATTGTAAACTAATAGAATGAAGGGAGTGTATCTATATGTGAGTCAAATAATGGAGTCAAGATGGTATCAGCCTTAAAGGATCAGGCTTTTATTCATGTGGTTTAGCACTCAGCTATTTCCATATCTGAGATAAAAATCCTGAATTGCACTATTTAGGGCCTAGTGATGTAATTATTTCTGTTAGAAATATTAAGAAACTATGGACCAGCCCTGTAACCTAAGAAAGAAAGCTAAGATCTCACATGATTTACTGTAGTCTGAGTCTCAGCTTAGTAGCTTGAAAAACATGCTGGGCACACGGATATGTGTGCCCCAAATCCCAAAAAGATGGAGAATGATTGCAGTATGATCATGCTGGAAATAAGGAACTAATAAAAAGGCCCAAAGATGGACAGGTGAAAAGGAATTAAAATTTAAAAATCCACTACTTTTTAAAGAATGAACAAAATTTATTACTGGAATTTAAAAATAATATTTGACAGCTTTGAAAAATACTTTTAATAAGTGATTAAAATATATCATCTCTATGTTGAAGATGACTTCAGTTATGTAAGTAAAAACACAGAAAGAAGCAAACACACATTTGTATTGATAAATCATGAAAGAAAATACAGCAAGTATAAATATTTTTAATGGGAAATTTACAGATTCTTTTTATTCTCTACCTTTTCCCTCTTGCTTTCTAATTTTGTATAATTTGTATGTGTTATTTTAATAATCAAGAAAAACGGACATCCTTGTTTTGAAGTCTTTATTATTTAATGAAATGATAAAATAAAAAGCAAGCAACCTAAAGCTATAACTTTATAGACACTACCTAATCAGCTCCAGCAAACACAGAAATCCTCTGCACACTGCTCAGGAAGGAGAATGTTTGGTAGTTCTGATCAATTGCTCCTGATCAGTATTCTTCCGAAAAGGGATAGTAAGGGTGATCAACAGCACTGGAAGAGAAGGAGGATATAAATTCGTTAGTTCTTCCTCCATGCTGGGAGAGAGGGTTTCTCAGGAGATGTAGACAGGATAAGCTTAAAACACCAAATGCAAACCATGCCCCTGCTTCTCCCTGACACATACACACCAGCTCCCTGTTCATGTGCTCACTCCACGTGCATGCCCAATTCCCATGTTCACATGCATGTACACACCAAGGTAGTGTGCAGTTTGATTTAGATTCCAGGTTCTAGGAGATGGTAAGAATGTAGCTAAAATGTTGCCCATTCAGCCCCAGGTGCAGCTTTTGTCCTTAGATCATGAGGTGCTGGCGGTGAGCATTGTGTTGCTCTTTCTCACTTGTTCATTCAGCAAATACACACTGAGCTCCCTTCAGAAAGGAACTTCTAATCTAGTGAGGAAAAAGACGGATCTCTAATAGCCAGATCTAAATTAGGTGATTGCTGATTTCCCAATTACAATTTAAAAGAATACTTGTAATCGAGTAATTAGTATGACTGCCTGTTTTCCTTTATCCATGTTCTTTTTTTTTTTTTTTCTTTTTGTAACTTGTACTTTTCAGTTAATGTCTTTCAAGAGTACGTTGCCAGCAGGTCTAGGTGCAGGAATCTGTGTATTGGTGTGGGGCCACAAATTGAGCAAGGACGAGACATTCAAGTCTGAGAGGGCAGATCATAGACTTACACTTGAAAACCTTTGGGTATAGAAAAGTTACTGTCCATCTTTTTTGTATTCAGAATGTCTCTTCTCAAAATCCTGGTATAGTTTCACAAACAGGAACGAGACCTTTGAGGTTTCCTTTGCAGACTGAATCTTTATTCTTGTTATGAAAATTCTATTTCCCTTTATCATTAAACTCCCTTCCAAACTTCTATCTGTTGGTTTACTTTTCTTCCTCCTAAACCCTGAGGTCTTGTAGTTAAAGAACAGAAGGTTGTGAAGAAACCAAAAATCAATAGACAGAGGGGCTCCTCAGAGACCAGCCTTCTGATGGACGAGGATGATACTTAAGTAAGAGTCGTGACCTGTAGATTCAGAGAAATTGTGCAGAATTTTATCTGGTATAGGCCACTGGGGATATATTGTCACTAACAAGAAGGTCAGTTTATTTTGTGATCCAGTTACAATTTAGCTTGTGAGATTATGCACCCGAGGAGATAGTTGGTGTGCCAGGGAAAGATCACCATTTAGCTGGGAAATATATAGCTTAGAATGGGAAAGTCACATTTAGGAGAAATGCTATTGGTTACGTAGGGAAGAAAGCATGGGCAGAAAACAGACAGTCCCAGGACATTAGCCTTCATGAGTTCATTCTCCATGAAAATATTAAAATGATATATTATATTGTCTTGTATAAAGCCAAGTAGATAGGCTAGATTTATAATTACACATTCTTTATAATTGCATTTCTTTTTCTAATATGACCATAAAATAAGATTAAACATTCTTGTGGGTCCCCAAAAGATTCATAGGCCACAGGCACCATTTCTTTAGTTTCTAAGGGGTATATGGACCCTGAGTGCAGGTACCCTGGGATCAGGTAGAAAGGGTCTAAGAGAAGTGAATTCACAATGGTACAAACTGTGGCAGTTTCACTTACTGTCTACACTGGGTTACACTCACATTTCTGTTGTGTCAGATATTGAGTCCTCTAGAGGAAACTTTAGCCTGAAGTCTTTAGGGAAGTTCCTGCTTTGTACCTATACCTGAGGTCAGGTTGTCTTCCTGATATAGAGAACTTCATTGATCTATAAAATTGCAGGCTACCGGGATCAGCAATTAGTGTAATGGCTATGTTGCTGAACTCCCATGTAGTTGACCGAGGTTTGAGTCCCGGACCCGGTCGCTTAAACTCACGCCGAGCGCCTGTGCGTGCATGCCAAGATCCCAAGAGGAGAATGGAGGAGAAGGGATTGCAGTGTGGCCATTCCCCCGGGGTATGATTTCTCGCTTTCTGTCTCTCTGTCTCTCTGTCTCTCTGGCGAGTGCACACACCCTATAGCAAAAACCTCTCAAAAAAAAAAAAATTGCAGGCTACAGAAAACAACTTGTGAGACAGTCTGGGAGATTCACTTACAATAGAATTTGACCGTATCGTAGATTTCTGTTGAGGCTTTGGATCTCTTTCATGTCCTCTGGAGTCAATTCGAAGTCAAAAGCCTGAAAGGAAGGAGAGAATCAGACCTGAAATACACTGGCTGGCCACACAGCTGGTCACCGGCTGGCTGTAAGAATCAGGAGAGGACTGTGTGTGATGCTACCCTGTATGCGTGCATCTTTGACTCTCTTGCTATCGCTGTCTCATAAAAGAAACATATTTAATGAATTAGTTAACTAAAAATACGTGTTGAAGTTTTTAGTTGTCATCTAAGATGGGAAAGACCTTCCATAGTCTTTCCAAATTCTTACAGGATTCAAAACAAAATGAGTTGAAGACTACTGACTAATTTCAGAAATCATAGTGTGTATGAGGAAGGCTTTAGGAAAGAACTGTACTCACTGATTTGTTAATTAGGTCAAGCTACAACTTTCTACTTTCCTACCTGCCAAGCTCTGGAGAAGAAAGAGTAACAAAAGATGAACCAAGGCGTCACTACATTTAAGTGTCTCAGTCCAGACAGAAGTGACACATAAGCAACCATTTTAAGTTACCAAAGAAATAACTCACTAACAGAGCCGTGCCAAGTACAGGTGGTCAGGAAATGAACTGAAATGTCCCAATGGCTTAACAAAACAGGTAATAAATCATATTTGAGCTTGGCCTTAAACTACATACAGATAGGAGTTTAATGGTACAGAAAGTGAAGGAGAAAACAGGGGTTGGTTTACTTTTCTTCCTCTAGGATTTTTAAAACAGATGAAAACAATGGAGTTGAAATTCACTTAGTGTTACAGAACTAGAAAGTGGCAACTAGACCTAGAAGAAATACAATGGGACTCTGGGTCCAGAGCACCCTCTTCCACTCTTCCTAGTTGCCCCCAGAGCACACAGGAAAAGATGGTTGGGAATGAACGAAACATGGTGTGCGTTCCCACACAAGAAAGACTGGCCCACGGCAACTCCCAGGCCTCATCCTGATGAGACACTGTCCACCTTTACCTGGAAGTTTTCTTTGATTCTCTTCTCACTGAAGCTCTTGGCCAGGACAACCACCCCACGCTGCAGCAGGTAGCGCAGGGCGACCTGTCCTGGGCTTCTCTTGTGTTTCTTAGCAATGGTCTTCAATATTGGGTCCTCCAAGAGATGTGGGCTGTTCACATCCACCCTGAAAAATATTTTTAAAAAGCACATGGATATGAGGGTATAGGACAGTTGAAAAAAGTAGACACCATATGTATAGTTTAAAAAGAGGCATCTCTATAAATAGAGATGCCATCATAATTACACCAAACTTGAACACTTACTGCCCATCAGCTGGTAAGTGGATAAAAAATCTGAGTCCCTACTGTGGAATATTATTCAAGAATAACATGGTATGGGGGCCGGCAAGTGGCATGGTGGTAAAAGGCACTGGACTCCCACATGGCCGACCACGGTTCAAGTCTCAGACCTGGTGGCTTGCTTTCTCACTTCCTCTCTCTCTGTGTGTCTCTCTGATCAAACTGGAAAATAATAATGATAATAATAATAAATAAAGTTAAATAAAATAATTCTTTAAAAAAAAAGAGAATAACATGGTACGAAGTACAGACCCTTGTAGCTCTATGGGTAATTCACACAGACATGGTGAATGAAAGAAACCACAGGCAAAAGATTATATAGGCCCCCCTCTACTTTATATAAAGTACTAGAACAGACAAAATAATACAAGACAAAAAATTCAGAAAGTAGGTGTGTAGAAGAATTTTCTCATATAACATGAAGAACTGCTTGAGATATGGAAAATTCTGTAGCATGATATGAATATGGGTTTTACAGTACATTCATTTGTGAAAATTGTATAACTAAGAAATATGCGCTAGATTTCAAGACAAAAAATTCAGAAAGTAGGTGTGTAGAAGAATTTTCTCATATAACATGAAGAACTGCTTGAGATATGGAAAATTCTGTAGCATGATATAACTAAGAAATATGTGCTAGATTTATGTAAATTTTACCTTAAAATTGCTTAAGACATCATACTTGAAGCAGTATTGGGAATAAGTAGATATAGAGATGAACAAAATTTGAGGAATGTTGGTGATTTCGAAGGCTGATAATAGGACATGGCAATACATTACACTAGTGTCTTCATTCTTTTATGTTAGAACTTTTCCACTACATAATATAGAAAACAACTTTTCGAAAAGCATTACATCATCTATAGAGTTGCTGGCATCAGTTAACTCTGCTAGTCTCTTACCACTTTGGGTCTCTGTGGGATCCCAGGGCACTGTAGGCAACGAGAACAATGTCCTTGGACTTGCAGAACTCCAGGAGTTTGCTCTGGTTGAGGTAAGGGTGACATTCCACCTGTAATTTGCCAAGACCAAAAGGCAGCAGCATACATGAGCCAGTAACCATATGCATATTTAAGTAGGGCTTTGAAGAAATATTTAATATCACATTAACTTATGCACTCTGTTTTAGGTTGGTTATTTTTCTGAAATACTGGATCATGGGAAAAGTGAGACATTTTTGCATAGAAACACATACAAAAGTATGTTATGATTTTTTCAATGACTCAATAATGTCATATTCCATCCATTGTCAGAAAGAATATTTTCCTCTTATTCCATTTTTACAGGGTTTTTAAATGATTACAATCTCTGGTGCTCAAACTGCAGTCTCTCAATACCATTTCCTACTAAAGGAAATCAAGATTCCTTAGAGAAATGGCTGATTTCAAGTCTGGGCTGGAAAGTTACAACTTGAGCCTAGAATTGCCCGCATTCTAAAAAGCAAGGGGAACAAAGACAATGAGACAGGTGAGAAGACCCACGGGTTCACTTAGAGAGGCTACTGCTGGCCAAAATGGCAGCAATTTCAGCATTAAAAGAACAGTAACTGTAGTGGATGGGATAATGTTCCATTTGTTAAAATTTGTGAATTCCTATGGCATTGAAAATCTGTGATTGAGTCTTTAGCTCTAACCTTCCATTTATAGGAGGCATGAAAGGAACATGTCAAACTGTCACAAGGATCAAACAGGAAAACTGTTGTGTGAAAAATTTTACAAGACAAAAGATTCATTTCTTTCATGAATTAATAGAAAGAGCAAAAGAGAGAGTGCAGAGAAGAAGGATAAAGAGGAAGGGAGAAATAAGGAGAGGAGAGAGAAACTACTGATTACAAGAGATCAAAGAGCTCTAGCACCTACATGCAATGTATGGACCTTATTTCCTCTGCCATTTGAATAATTCAACTATAAAATTGTGGTCCAAGCACATTTAATGCTTATAAGATTTAATGATACAAAGATATTATTGCTAAAATTTTGTGTGGTATAACCTATTCTGATAATGTGCATTTTAAAATTCATGTATTTTAGGGACCAGTGGTCGCATCGTGTGATGCAGCTTGAGCCACATAGTTCTGGTTTTGCATCCAGAGATCTTTCGAGCATGCCCAGTTCAGCCATGCCTGCCCAAGAACTGGGATGGCTAAGACTGGGAGTGGGTCACAGCATGAAGACTCTGGTGGGTGCCCCTCTCTCTATCTTGGGAGAAATAAATAAATAAATTTTACAAATTAATTAATAACACAATCCATATATTTAAAGACATATGTTGAAATGTATCTTTAAAATACAAATGAAAGCTATTATGCCTGCTTCTCAATAATCCAGGGGTAGGAGTATATATGTAACACGTTTGAATATGAAATAATTATTGCTTAAGTGTGGATTTGGGTATGTGGGAAGGAAGTCATTATACTATTCTCCCTATCATTTTGCAGTTTGAATTTTATAACAGTAAAAAGTTGTAAGAAGTAATAAAATATGTCATGCTAAATATAGGAAAACCACCACAAGTCACCTAGAATCCCACCAGAACAATATAGTAACTGTTGTTGTTTTGCTATGCTTTGCATTAGTAGTAATTCCTTTTCACTTTAAATATTTCTGTCATTTCAAATATACGAAATTTAGTGAATATCATTGATTAACATTACTCCTTCTTAGAAACCTTGCTTTGTTCAGTTATTCCCCCGTTTTTCTATTTTCAACATCTGGGCCCCAGAAAAAGCTGACTCATTCTTTGATGCAGTTATTTTCCTTTTCCATGAACTGATTGGTTTAGAAAAGCACATATTGTGTTGCTCAAGCCAATGGCAGAGCAGAAAACATTTGCTGGAAAAGTCTGTGAAGATTCCTTATCAAACTTTGAAGCTGCGCCAGAAAACACTGTCTTCTCGGTTGAGCATGAACAAGAAGACTTGGGCCCACACCTAGAGGCCACGCAACTGTGAAGCGTAGAGCACTGACAAAAGATAATGGCTGGGGCCACCTGATGGTGTGGTGGTTAAAGCAGCTGGATTCCACATGATTGACTATTTGGTATAATTCCTGGATTTGACAGCCTGAAAAACATGTAGGGTTTGTGTACATGTGCGTTCAAAATCTTGAGAGAAGAATGGAGAAGGGATTGTGGTGTGGCCATCATCCTTGAGGGGTGTTTTCTTTTTCTCTCTTTCCATTCTTTCCCTTTCTCTCCCTCTCTCTCCCCCCCTCTCTCTATCCCTCTCTCTGGTGAGCACATATGCCCTTTAGCAAATTAAAAAAAATATATGTTGGTTTCAGGATAATATGTTACAGCTTCCAGACCAACCCAACTACAAACCTTCTGTAAGTCACACAACTTTCTAACATACTAAGGCAGTCTGAATTAAATTTTCTGTCTTCTTTAACTGAATGCATCCTAACTACAGATAACATATGCTCATGTGATAAAAGTTTTTTCTTTTTATTTAGATTTTTGTCATTGGGTGCGTGCATTCACCAGAGAGAGAGGGACAGTGAGTAATCACTCATCCCAGAGGGGATGGCCACACCATAACCCCTTCTCCTCCATTTTTCTTTCTAGATTTTGGACATGCACATGTGCCCGGATGATTTTCAAGCCACCAGATTCAGGACTTGAATCATGCTTGAGCATGTGGGAGTTGAGTGCCTTAGAGACTGTGCCACCTGCTGGCCCCAAGTGATATGCTTTTTAATGTGGTATTATAATGTCAGCTCTTTCTTTCCACTCTTAGTCTTCATATTATCCTGGCACAGTTCTTCCTGAATCACCATAAATTTAATTACTTCACAGTTTATGGAGAGGAAAATTTTAGATATAAAATTGTGCTTAAAATACTCATATAGATGGGACCCAGAGGATGGCGTAATGGTTATGTTGCTGGACTCCTACATAGTCAGCCAGTCTTGGATCCAGTGGCTAAAACTCACACTGGGCATGTGTGAGTGCACAAAATCCCAAGAGGAGAAAGAAGGAGAAGGGGCTGCAGTGTGATCATTCTCCCCTGGGGAATAATTTCTTGCTTTCTGTCTCTCTGTCTCTCCTATATGAGCATGTGCCCTATAGCAAAAGTTTCTCTCTCTCAAAAAAGGAAAAAAATACTCATATAAATGTATGTTGGGCTAGATTTTTTAAAAACATATTTTGATTTTTTTTTTTTTTTTTTACAAATAGGTCCCTAGAAGTAAATAACTAAGACAAAGGGTATTTACATTTGATAGTTTTAGTTTTCTGTGTAGTTGTCTACGTGTTCTTTAAAAGGCTACAAGAGTTGTCCAGCCCTGTGGCATGCATAGCTAAGATGCGTGCTCCAGAGGCTGGAGCCTCATGGAAGGACAAGGTTTAATTTGTGGTCCACCTTAAAGCCTGGCGGGGTGGCATGCACTTGTAATCTCAACTACAAGGAGGCTGAGGCAAGAGGATCACAGACTCAAGGCTGGCCTGAGCACCCTGTCTTGGTTGTGCATTTCTGTAGTCCCAGCTGGAAGGCTGATGAAGCAGGATCAGTATATGGTGAGACTGTCTTGAAGAAAAAAAAAAAACAAGGCTATAAATATTTACCATGTCATAAATAATGTTTGGTATTGTTAGCAGTGGCTGTTTTAAAAATGTTTGTTCTAACTATGATTTATCCATGTGCTCACTTTCACTCTCTTCCTCTGACCTGGCTTGCTTTCACCACTCTGCAGGTGTCTCTGCATGGTTTCCCGTAGACTCCTTGCCACTAAGTCCAATAACTCTTTCCGCTTTCTGGTGCAGTGGCTGGCTCCACAGTGTGATCCACCTCGTAGGACTCTACTCTTTTCACCCTCTTTCTTTGACTCTCCTGATCCACTCCCTCATTTATCTCTGTTTGTTGGCAGGTCTGTTTTAATCTCCTTTCCAGGTTTCCTTGCTCAAACCTTGCATGGTGACTTTCCTGCCCCTTCCTTGTCATTCTATAAACTTTCCCAAGGAGAGATGGTCCACTTCTGTGAGTCTAATTGCCA